GCAAAGTGCTGGCACAGAGCAAAGATGATGCACATGTAGTACGAGTGCAAACGTGCAGAATTTTGCTGGAGTGAAGGTTACTGGCACCAAGGAGTGGGGGGAACCACAGGATAAATCCAAGGCCTGCTTTGAGGTCAGACCAAATGTGAAGCGAAAGCTTGGATTCATATATCAACAGCTACGGTGTAGCTGTGAAATGGCTGCTTGATTTTTTTTTTTAATTAATTTTTTTGAATGTTGTTTGAGGACAGTTTTGATGTCTTCATAGGTAATGCAAAATGAGTGATATAATTAATATGTAGCAGAAACAGGAAAGACCAAGGAAGAGTGGGTCACCCCAGGGATCTCATCGCCTTTGGAAAGTTGCGCAGAGAGGCTGTGCCCAGAGGGAGCAAAGAAATAGCAAGTTCCTGAGATGGCAAGAACTGGCAGAGTTTTCCCAGGAACATTTATTTAGTGCCAGCTTGCCGAGAATGTGTTTTGTAATATACCCAGTGGAAGAAGTCCATGTGCTGCTTATTACTGTTTGTGTACATGTTGGAAAGGTTTTAAGCTGTTTGTGAGCAAGTGTTGATATCTTGATGATATGTTGTGCCTTCTAATCAGTTTTCCAGCCTTTCCGGTGAGACCACAACCATTTCAGCCTGGATATTCTGCTCTAGAGTTGCATTATTAAAAAAAAAAAAAAAAGAGTCAAGTTGTTTGGGAGAACAGCATATCTTGTACCAAAACAGTGGCTGCAGATGGAGTGCAGCACAGAGTGTTATTCCAAAAGGTAATGCCGTCAAGGATTGTTAGTTGTCCCTAACCCCGATAACTGCACTTTGGATTTGGAATTTTGCCTCTGTTTTTGTAGTGGAGAATGTGCTTGGGTTTGGGCATTAGTGTTTTGTGAACAGCAGGGGAGTTGCCCACATTTCCTAGCATTTGGTCTATTCGTGTGCACCATGTGTTTTTTTTGGCTGAGGAAAAACTGCAGTCAAAATAAATATAGTGGATTTTCAGCCCCATAATGAATGTATTGCTGGTAATATTCGGCTGGACATCTGTTAAAATGCAGTTATGGCCAGAAGAGTGACTCTGTGAGCATGGCACCTTGTGAACTGCTCATATGTGATGCTTTTGTGTATTTGGGAGCATATCTGCTTGGCTCACTGCTAAGGACAGGTTCGCTGTGCCTGTCAGCAGGCAAGCACAGTATCGACAGAGCTGGGGAAGAGCAAACTGTGTCCTCGTCTCATCCATCACTGATGGTCACTAGCTAACTCCTGCTTCCAGCGACCACGTTGCAGGTTATGAGCTCCAAGTCAAAGAACAGCTTGAGGTTTTCTCATTGATTCTGACAGCTATGACTGTGACACTCGAAGTTACACTGTTTTTTTGACTTGTAAGTTATGTGAATTAAAAATGTGTGTCACATTAAAGCAATAAGGCAAAGGGGTTTTCCGTCTTAATACGCTTAATTCCTTTTCTCGTGCAAAGAGGGAACCATTTGGCATCTCTCTATTACATGGTATACTACAGTATACTTATTTGACAAATTTGCTTGCCTGTTTGCTTGTGTTTTTACAGTACCTAGATTTACAAATGTCCGTGTGCACAGATACAAAGTCAGAGTGTATAGAAGGACCCCAAACCAATAAAAGATTCTGGCTTTGCTGCCCATATACATAAAGCATGCAGTTCCCATACATCGCTGTGACCATGCACAGTTTTGAAAGGTGCTCAGCAACTAATTTTTTGCTTGCAGTTGCAGCTGACAGTCTAGACAATATCATTGCCTGTAAATGGCATGTGTCTGGCAAGGCAGAGTGCAGGAAATGCAGGAAAAAATAGAGTAACTCATTAGCCCTTAACCTTTTAGAGGTATATTTGGCTGATACTTTACCATATCATAATGATATGGTTGGCCATATCATAAGACAACTGAAAAACCTTGGCCAACCTTCACTCAAGAGACCAGAATTGGCAGAATTGTTGCAGTTGCAGCCATTGGTTGATGTGTGTTTAAGAAAGCACCATAGGAATTAACTGCTTCCGTGAGAGTTACGATGCTAAATATTTTTGAGGAGTCTGTCCCAAGGTGCCGATGCTTGCACATACCTGGCCCCATCACCTGCTTTTCTGCTTGTTTAATGGCCTTGGGAGTCTCGGGGTCCTGCTTATTCCCTGCGTGATCGGCTCTGCTTTGCAAGCGCAGTGTTGTTTGCT